ACTTCAACTCCCAGCATGCTGGGAGTTGAAGTCCACACATCTTAAAGTGGCCAAGGTTGAGAAACACTGCCTTATGGGATATTAGGCCATATCTATCTGCTGATATGAATTAAAGTTGGCGTCGAAGAGCCTGCTCAGTGATGCTTCCACAGCTGGGCTCCTCGTTCATGCAGGTAAAGCAATCACACCATACTTCTTGAAGGAAAGGAGAGGTGAGGCATCAATGCATCCAGTGAGACCTGCCACAAAATGGTGCTTCTGTTTAGGGCGCTTGCCTTCCTGTCTCTTTTGGGAGGTGCTACGTTTTCCCTCCCTGTGGTTTTCCATAAAGGTCCTCCCTATGTTCAACAGCCACTATGCTGTGACCATGCTGAGCATGTTCAGTTGTCATTGGTCTTGGGATTTGGACATGCTGGAAGGGGAGAGGTGAGTTCTGCTTTTTAGATTTGTCCCTAGAGATTTTGTCGTGGGACAAATCGTGGGAATTCCCCCCAAGCCTGCTAATACATCCGTCCTTGGATGGAGCTGTTCTAAATTACTTAAGAATCTATACTTGAATTGTGAATTTACAATTAGTTTCTACTGAGTCGTTTAAGAACCAAACTCCTTAAGAATAAGTGTTCTGGCAACAGGAACTCTCAGATTGATCTATGCTGGATTAAAAAGAAGAAAATGTGTAGAATTCAAGCTTCCACTTGAGATTCTGTGTATCAACTTGTTCCCAAGGTCAGTGTTGGTGCTCGCTTGCTGGAAATCTTGTCTTCGGACTCCGAAGGTTTTCCTCGCAGGGCCGTCATCAGTGTCTTCATCGACTGGCTGAAAGAAGGACACCCCGAGGTCTTGGCTGCCCCCGAGGAGTTTGTTTCCCAAGCCCTTCAAGCTGTGGATGGAGACTTGGACTGGGAAGTAAAAATTCGTGCTTTGGAATTGGTGGACATTTTTATCACCCAGACATTTGGCCGGTTTGGGCTCCGGGAGAGCTCTGCTTCTTCTGGTTCCTTTCTTGCCAGACCGCCTGTCCATCTCCCTGACTTGCTACAGATATTCTGCCAAATGAAAATGTTTGCTTTCCTTTTCAGAGCCCTTCAGGACTGCGACAGGCCAGTGGCGCTCAAAGCCTGTGAGGTCCTTCTGGCTCTGAAATCAAACATTTGCAAAGACAAGTGCCCGGAGCAGCAGAAATCATCACCTTTGGGAGATGCTGCTCAGCTAAAGGAGGGGCCAACCGGGACCCGCTCTTCTCTTTTGAGCCTTCCGGTTGGGGAGGCTGCTGAAAAGAGTTGCAAAGATCCAGAAAGGCTGCAGCTAATACTAGAATCGATGGACCTGGAGAGTTTGCAAAGAACTCTGGATGTAAGCAGTGACTACTTGGAGCGGAGTCCCCAGTCTCTCTTGCAGGATATCCTGTCTGCTGCAGGGAATGCAGAGGAGAACAAAGCAGACTGCTATTGAAAAGATGGGCCAGAACCTGCCAACCAGCTTGGAAAAGTGGCAACTTTCAGAATTGAATTGCTGCAAGCGAGCACCCTCCACAGATACCTGCAGAAAGTGGGCCTGCTAGAGTGAATTAAACCCAAAACCCACATGCAGGGAACTGTTGGGAAGAGTAAACCCCAAAGCAGCGCTTTCGGGCACTTGCACCAAAAAGCAAAACCCACACAAGTTTATGGCGAATGCGTAATGATCAAGGATCCGCCTAACAGAATCACCTAAGTGAATCTGTATCATAGAGGCTTATCTTGTAAAATCGAGAACTGTCTGCTCTGATAAAGAGAATACGATGAACAGATGAAATCTTTGGAAGTGGATTCTGCTGGGGGTTTACTGTGTTAGCTGTTTCCTCTTTGAGCGAGCAGCCTGTTACCGAGGCAGATCCAAGTAGCGCTCGGCTGGGTTTTGTCCTTGGGTAATGAGCTACAGACCATGCGTAGAAGAAAACAAGGCTCGCTGCTCGCCTACACGGTCCGTGCTAAATCTTAGAAGCATTTTCTGTGGTCAGAGGTCACCATAAATGGCTCCATCTTCAGCCCTATGGATCACAGTCTTGGTGCAGTAGAGTTTAGGCTTATTGCTCACCTTCACTCCTGCGGCAGAACAGTCTAACAAGCTGGCAAGATTCCACTATGACAAGGTTTGTGAATCAGTCCACCGTGTCAGCTCCGCTGGCTGTGGCTTACCCAGTGGTGTCTCTCTAGATCAGTATTTCTCAGCCTTGGCAACTTTAAGATGTATGAACTTCAACTCCTAGAACTCCCAGCCAGCCATGTTGAAGTCCACACTTCTTAAAGTTGCTAAGGTTGAGAAACACTGCTCTAGATCGTCCCTAAAGCTAGTGTAGGATTGTTTCTAGTAATTTAAAAACAGAATCACCAGAAGATCCTCTTTGCTTTTCTACATAAGGGACAAATCCTTGGAGTAGGGAGGATTAGATTTATGAGTAAGCCCCACTGGTGGTCCTGAAAAAAAAATAAAATCCTGGACTGAATTTATGCCCAGGGTGCTCCTCATTTTGCAGATCATTGCCTGCTTCCTGAGCTGTTCTTTTAGACTTGGCTGCAAATGGGACTCCATTTAAGGACTCCAGTGAAAACCCAAAGGAATTCTAGCAGCCTAAAGTCTGCCTGTTTAGGTTGATGTGTTTGTGTGAATTGCCCTGCAGAGGGAGTATCTCTGGGCCTGGATAGTTGCTTTATGCCAAGCCAACATCATTGGTTTACTTTACTTTGGAATTAGAAAGGAGGCCATGATCTAATACAGTGTTTCTTCAACCTCAGCAAATTTAAGAGGTGTGGACTTCAACTCCCAGAATTCCCCAGCTTGAAGTCCACATCTCATAATGTTGCTAAGGTTGAGAAACACTGATGTAATGGAAGATTTCCAGGTGATTTGCAGCAGAAAGTCAGGAGTTTTGACCAAGAAGAGCCACAATAAAGTGAGACTCCCTGATCTTAAGCCATATATTGAAGGTAGCTGGGCATGGCCCAAGTATTGATGGAAGAGCAGAGACACAAAACCTGTCTTCAGTTCTGGAGCTCAAGACACATTTCTGAAGTCAGGATTGCCTTTTGCACTGAGCTCAGCTGGTGGATTTCTAGATTTTAGTTTTAAAACAATCCCTCTCCAGGGCTTCAGTATCTTTCCAGCCCCATCTGGAAATGGCACAGGCTGAATTGGGGGTCTCTTGCATCAAAGCAGGTGCTCTAGAGGACTGGAGCGGGGGGGGGGACCTCCATTTAAAAAAAGCATTTCCTCAAGATCCCGAACTGTCTCCATCAACAGACTTCACTAGTGCATTTCATAAGACTCTACAGCAAAGGGAGAAAGGGGGAAAATGGTATCTGTTTCTGCTCCAATTCATGGGAGGGGGAGGTCAGCTGAATTTGCTATGGGCACGACCTGGCTCCCAATTATCATTGTAAATCATAAATATATATAATCACAATTAAGAAATCCTAGGGCAGAAAATGGAGTGTTTATTTGAGTTGCCGGGCTCCTCGAGCAGCAGCCTACATCAGGAGGTATGTATTGATGCCCAGAGAGCTGAACTCTGCCATGACAGGCCACTTAATTATTAAAGGGCAGAAGCAAAACAAGACATTCAAGTGACTGAGAGTGATTTCAGGTCTTAAATCATGACAAGCAAAAGGGGAGGACGATGCTGATAACAGTCCTTTTAAAATGCATTTTCTTCCACGGACCCACCCTTATTTCCTGCTGAAGAGCTGCAGAGGATAATGATTACAAACCATTCCGGAGCACGCTTGTGTTCTGGAATGATTACCGCTAAATTCTTCCCTTCCTCGGGTGGTAAATGTAGTTTTCTCACCCTGTTTTATCATCACAGCAATTCTGTGAGGTAGAGCAGATGAGAGAAAGTGCTTGGCTGCCTAGTCAAATTAAGCAGATAGGGCCAACGTTCACTGATTTCTGTCGGCACAGTCAGAATCAGAGGAAGTGGGGCATTTCAGGCATCAACAAAACCAGACATTCTGCAGGACATGTCTTGGCATATCATTCGGTAATTCGAATGAATGCGTAGTAGCCTCTGTCTTGGGCTAGTGGAGAGAGGAAAATTCTTGAATCAAATCCTAGATTTGTGCAGGTGAGGACTCAAGAACGTAACAGAAAGGGAAAAATGAACCCCTTAACGCCGAATCCAGCCTGTGCTGCTAATCCAGAGAATTACATTTGTTCCAAAAAGCATTTATGGCATACAGGAAGCTAGAAACCCGATTTATTTGTTAGTTTTTTATGACACTTCAATCAAGCACATCTAAACAGCTTACAAAAGCTCTGTTAAATCGTATCTGCAAAACGAATCTCATACGCCTATATCAAAAGCAAATTCAGCATCCATGATGACTAGTAAAAGTAATGCTAGTTCTTAATAAGTTTTGTGCATGAATTAGGACACTGATCCCCTTTCTGGGAATAACTGATTCCACTGGAAGGGAGCCCCAGCACTTCCAAGTCCCCTCCAGCAACCCACCTCTGGCCAGATGTGTCAGACTATGTAGCCTATCATTCTCAGCCATGAGGGGAGTTCCAATCTAGCACGCTTAAAGGCTGCCAGCACAGGGAATTCTGTCCTGAAGTGGCCCTTGGAATTTCTAGTGAAAGGAAAAGGAACCCCCCCCGCAAAAAAAAAATTGTAGAGAGAAGCACTTGCATTACTTTTGACAACTGTTAGTGCATTTTTGCCCCGTGTTAAGACCAAAAAAAATCATAACAATCCAAAATGTCTCATTTTAGCGCAGTAGCGCTATGCATGCTCTGAACACTGGGGAAACCAGCTTTCTGCAATCCAGTTCTCGCTCACAAAGCAGAAGGAGCCATTGCTTCACCGGGGGGGGGGGGGGGGGGGCTGAAGATGTACCACCCTAATTACCTCGAGTGCCGGATCATCCTACTAGGGCTTCACGCTTCAGATTTTGATGAGAATTGCCACCCGTAAGAGAAGGCGGAACCAGGCAGGGTTACAGACCCCCAGCACCCCCAGAAAGCTAAGACCCTGCATCTGCAAGAGACGTGGTGGGAGGCAAAGGCTGTTGACATCATTTAGTGCTCTGTACAGCAAACAAGCAAAAAGAGAGCGCTTTGCATGCTGCAGTGATTCTCACTGCCTTGAACAGCAGGCAAGACTCCCCTTAGCTGGGGAGATCTGAACTGGTGGGCTTCTGAACTAGCTACCGGCAGATGAGAGCCACCTGAATCTATGGGATTTCCTCCTCCTCTCCCGCAGGTGTACCTCTCCAACTGAACGCAGGAAGATCCCAAAGCCAATCACGTCAGAGTATTCAGCAAGCCCTAAACAATGCAGCAATGAATATGCAATCAACAGAAATATACCTAAAGCGGTCCTCTGCTCCTCTGGCAGCCATGCTAAGAGCACAGGCTGGAGGTGCTGAAATCCTTTTAAAAAATGCCCTCAACCTTTTGGAGCGCAAAATGCCTGCGGCTGAAGTGGGTTGCCACGCCGGCGTCTTCTGCGAATGCAAAGAAATCCCCAGACCGTTCACCTTGCTTGCTTTGCCACCGAGGCAGAACGAAATGTACTGCTACATCAGAGAATCTTGAAGTATGAAAGTTGTGGATGATACTTCTCCAGACCCCAGAGGCGTTGCACTTGGGATCTGAAGCCAAACGGGGGCGGGTATGCTGTCAGCCCCTCCTTATGAATGCAGATCGTTTCCCGGAATTGCCCGGCCAGCCAGGAAGAGAGCAGGCTTGCCCACACCTAGGTTTGGGTTTGAAGAGCAGCGCATTCCTACTTCGCACCTGTCTACGTTCAGTCAAAATCCAGGATCCTGCAGATCTTCCTTTGGAGTCGCTGATGAGTAACAGCAGAATGCATTTTTGAGGACAAGTGCCAATTAAGAGCCAAGGACGGCTGTTTCTGCCACGCTGGGATGAACTCAGGGGATGCTAATGCAGGGCCAGCACATTCCTTGAGCCCCTCAAGGAGCCCTGGTGGGGACTGTGACAACCTGGTGTCAGCCCATCACCAGTGATGGTGCCATTGGCTTCTTCCATTGAAGACCCATTTGAAGTGTATATTAGCTTGGGAATTACAACCTCCCTGGTTGGGTTTCTCGCTCAGTGCCAAGTCATGACACAGATGGCCTCCTTTGACCTCCCCACAGTGTGAGAACCTAGCTATTGCAGTTTGCAAACCATGGTCTAGCGTGGTAAGTGGACCTGTTCTTGTGGATTATTCCACAGCTGTGGTTACAAGGAGACAGGTCATTGGGGGTTGGACCTGGGAATGGGGAAGCAACGAATGCAGCTGGAAGAAGAAAATGGAGGTCTGGAGAGAGACACACGCAAAATATCAGAGGCCGGTTTCAAGCCAGGGATCCCGGCCCATCTGCGTGTCTCTCTCTCTCTCTCTCTCTCTCTCTCTCT